TTATTGCAACTATCTCTGCCCTCTGTTTATAACAAGACGTCAGAGGTCTTTAAAAGTGTGAAAGAACGCCATCATGTAGCATTTCCTGTAGGGGGAGCAATAAAAACAATATGAATGGGCTTCATACCCGGAAGTGTTTTAGTGATAATTGGAACTGCATTATAATGATGAAAATGTTGAGGTTTTACAAAGTCTTGCCAAACATTGTTTTTCCATATTAATAAATATATATATATTAAATATATATATATGTATATATATATATATACATATATATATATACATATATGTCGTAGGTCTATATATATATAGACCTACAACATATATATATATACATATATGTCGTAGGTCTATATATATATATAGACCTACAACATTTCGCGGTTACATACCCATCTCCCATTTATTTCTTGAGAAAGTCTTTTTCCGTTAAAACACATTTTTCATGGAAACCAGTTGGCAGGTGGAGTAAACGACTACAGCGTCACATGACACTATAGGTGGAAGACGCCGTTGTTTACATCCGCTGGTTGTTACATTGGATTGTTCTACATTTGTTTTCCTTCATTCAGGTAGTTTTTTTTTCTGGAACTTTTTGCCCTTCATCATGGCACCCAAGCATAAGTCAGACTTTTCTGATGTTTTTATGTCGTAGATTATGATGTTACCACCGTGTTAGCATGGGAGAGTGACGTAGCTAGATCAAAACCTGTTGCCAAACTGAAAAGGCCCAACAAAGATATAATGATAAAACTCCACAAAGATGTTCAGACGCCTGAGAGACGTATCTTAATATGTTCTGCTCATACAAAATCATACACTTTTTGAAATGATAACATCTGTTTGAGAATGAAAGAGAACCCATTCTGGCAGTAGCAGCTCTCTTTCTGTACTTTCCTTAGGTTTTTATAGCAGTTTTTTTGTCCCTGTGTTTCATGGCTGCCCCCTCCTGGATCTATCGTCATCAAGTAAACATTTTCACGTTAAAACATCCCTTAGCATTAGCAAAAGACTGGGTTGAAGTGCTGCAGATGAACACGCCACCATATACAACCAGTGGGCCTTTAAAAGTGACTCGGGAGACAAAGGTTTTATGACGCTATGTTTTTTGAGAAACTGTACCTTTAAACATATTTTACAGTAGACTAATGGAAAACCCCGGAGATTCACTCGCACATAAACCTTCACACTGTGTCATTCACTTGTCTTCATCACCTGCACCCCCCCACCCCCACCCTCCGCCCCTGAAGCAACATAATGGGCCATTCCAAAGTGACCCATATTTACCCAATAATACGAGGCTTTGAAAAGACCCATATCGAGTTGCAGCTAATGCTCCAGTGGGGCCTGGAGAGTGAAAGATGTTACCGGCCGAAACGGCTTAGGTTTCAGGGCCCTGCCAACAAAAGGCAGTCCGGTCCTCGGAGAGAAAGGGAGAACGGGGGGAACGGGGGGTGACGGGGTGCGAGGGCGTGTAGAGTGTTAATGCACACATTGAAACAGTAGCGTCGGAGGGGCTCGGAGCGTCTGGTGGGGGGGGGGGGGGGTTTGTGTGTGGTTCTGGTGTTTTTTTT